CCAGAAAAAGAAGAGGGGAAGAATTTGGTACCAGAAAGAGGCAGGTAGCTCTGGATGTAGATCATCCCCACTGATTATTCTCCGTGATTACTGCCAACAATCCATCCTGTCTCACTTCAGCATCATCCAGCTCCTTTTTTCTGGCCTTAAAGTGGTAGTAAACGTGTTTTTTTTAATTTTACCTGCAGGTAAGCTTACCTGTAAGTAAAATGAAAATCTAGTAAACGTGCACCGTTTAGGAGATAGTCTCTCTTTTTTTAAGCTGGCGCATGCGCTCTGAAAGAATGGCATGCCCGTGCTGTTCCTTCAGAGCTATGCAACGTAGACTCCCCCACGCATGTGCAGGAGTGATGTCATCACAGCCCGGCCTGTCAGGCGGCTGGAGCTTGCGAACCCGGAAGGAAGACCGGGTGAAAATTAAAGCCTCTGCAGCAGTGACAGCATGCTGCTGGAGGGTTTCTTTTTAAGGTAAGTTGTACATAACGTGCTAGTATTATGACATTACCTTGCAGGGGACTTTTTTTTTTTACTACTGCTTTAAGATGAACATCAGGATCCACCCATCTCTGGCGATGTCTTTTCTGTTTTTTTTTTCTGTTCTTTTAAATGGTGGTAGTATTTGTGAACATGTTGCGGTTGCAGAAAAGGGGAAACCCCTTTTCTTTTTCTTCTTGTAGCTTTGACCCGTGAAATGCATTGAATGCAGATATTTCATCTCAATGTCTTCATTTATGATGAATCTTGGAGTAGCTTCATGTACACCACATCATGATAAGCACATACTGTATGTATCATATGATCTGTAACACTGGCAACATGTTTGAAAAATTCTAATGTTGGTGTCACGGTATAGGGGCTCGGCCAATTATTTATTCCTGCTTAATCCTCTCATTAGTGTCCCCAATTATAAATTCCCTCATTAATCCCTTGTGTCCAGAGGAAGTGCATCGTCCAATTAGTATTCTACTCCTGTGTGCCAAATGCTACTAGTTGTAATTAATGCGCTCCCCAAATTCAATTAATGTATCCTCCCCACTGTCCTCCTGTTTACAGCTACAAATTCAATTACTGTGTTTCCTTCCCCGTGCATCCTGCCCATGCTGTGTTTGCAGCTACAAAGGCAATTATTGTGTTTCCCTCTCTGTCCATCCTGTCCAACCAGTTTTTTGCCCAAATTAAATATTCTCCCCACTCTCCTGTTTACAGCTACAAATTCAATTACTGTATTTCCTTTCCTGTCCATCCCTCCATTGTCATCCGAAATGTCCCTAAACTCAATTAAGGCATTCCCTCTATTGTCATCCTGCTAATGACCCCCCTCCACCTCTCGTCCTGCCCCGGGGTTTAAGAGGTCAGTGCTGGTCTCTCCCGACCATCCATTCTGCTGTGCAGCCACTGAGGGATCCCAGCTGCGGTGGGACTCTAGTGGCCAGACTCTGCCTAGCCCCATTGGAGGAAGGGGGACCCCAGAAGCTACATCAGCTCTGCCTGAGCTTACCACACCAGCTCTGCCTGAGACACTGCCAGACTCTACCTAAGCCCCATTGGAGGAAGGGGGATCCCAGGAGCCAAGGGGGATTGCCTGCCTGTCGCCTGAGACCCCAAGCCAAGGGGGATTACCTGCCAGCTGCCTGAGACCCCCAAGCCAAGGGGGATTGCCTTCCTGTCACCTGAGACCCCAAGCCAAGGAGGATTATCTGCCAGATGCTTGAGACTCCAAGCCAAGGGGGATTGCCTGCCTGTTGCCTGAGACCCCAAGCCAAGGGGGATTACCGGCCAGCTGCCTGAGACCCCCCAAGCCTAGGGGAGGGACTACTCACCTCCTCCGGACCCCAACAGGTACCTCTGTCCTATTATCTTACCCCTGGGAGACCAGGCACCCTGTCGGATCCGTGAGCGTATGTCTCCCCCTGTTTTACCCGAACTGTTCCTGTGATGACCCCTTGCCCCTTTGTTGGATTGCAATCTGCCACAGAGACCTTTCCTTTGTCCTTGGTGCTGGACTACAAGCCTTTTAGCCTCCTCCTCGCTCTCCCCCTATTGGCAAGAGCACCCGTGCCATGAACTGTCCCTAGTGTGCGCACTGACTACCCGTGCCATGAACTGTCCCTAGTGTACGTACAGACCACTCGTGCCATGAACTGTCAGTAGTGTGCGCACTGACCACCCGTTGAATCCCCATGACCCTGATGTTGCCCCTAGTATGCTGTGTGGGAGCTGTGTTGGGGGCAGCCTCCACAGCCAGAGTCCCGTTGAATCCCCATGATCCTGATGTTGCCCCTAGTATGCTGTGTGGGAGCTGTGTTGAGGGCAGCCTCCACAGCCAGAGTCCTGTTGAATCCCTGGGAACCTGATGTTGCTCCTAGTATGCTGTGTGGGAGCTGTGTTGAGGGCGGCCTCCACAGCCAGAGTCCTGTTGAATCCCCGAATGTAATGTGAACATTAAATGGCAATTTTTGGACTCCGTTTCAGCAACCCTAAAAATACCAATAAGTATTAAAAAAATTAAGTTCTAGAAAGACAAAGCTTCTTCCCCTTTTGTATGGCTGATATTATATTTAAAGACAGGCAATAAAGTCTGTATCAGGGATTGCCATAGCTTTCTTTAGGGCGATCAAACCCACCAAAGGTATAATGCAGATTGCAACATTTAATACCTATAGGAATCTAATTTACGAGAATTACCTGATAAATTACCTGCTGCCTCTGGCACGTAAGGCTTTTGTTGCCTTATCTTTATGTTATCTCTGATTCTCCAGTCTCCACGCTTAGTTATTCTTTGGAAATTGTTACATTGGATGATGTCCAGCAGTAATGTTAGTTTTCTAACCTTTATGCTGTGTGTCAGCTTTCTGTAGTTGATATTATTTATTGCATATAGGACTGTCCACTGAAATGGTAGTTTCTAGGGGCCTTGCTGCCAGCCCCAATCCATAATTTAACACGCTGCCACCTTATGACTTCATAACAGGGAGAAAAAGAAAATAGGTCCATATGCAGAAAGAGCTATGCTGTGGTGGGACAGATCTACTTTTATGCACAGTTATTTATAGAAGGGCTTGCACAATAAAATGAAGGTAAAATTTCCCTATACAGAATTTTTTTTTTTATCCACTGATCATATTATTATTATTATTAGTATTATACAGGATTTATATAGCGCCAACAGTTTGCTCAGCGCTTTACAATATAACGGGAGACAATACAGCAACAATACAAGAGGGTTAGGAGGGCCCTGCTCCTTGGAGCTTACAATCTAAAATATTAGTATATGACCGTTAGCTATTATGTCAGCTACGATTTTCTTCTATCCACGCTATTTAGCTGTAGCATGTGGTTTTATATATCTAGTGGAATACATTCTAGCATTCTGGATTATATAGTTCCACGATATGATTACAAGCACATAAAGGTAAGATGTTTGTAATGTGACATACAACCTCTTTTATTCACAAAATACATTCTAAATATTTATTGTATTATATTATAGCTAAACATGGATATTGAGAGTAGGGGCGGACTGACAACTTATGGGCCCCCCGAGCAATAGGGGATCATGGGGCCCCTGTGTCCTTGGCCAAACTCAAAAAAGCCTATGAAAAAGGTACCAGGGGCATCTCATGGGGCCCCTACTGACCCCGGGCCCTTGGGCAGTGCCTGAGTTTCCAAATGGTCAGTCCGCCCCTGATTGAGAGATTTCAGCTCGCTACTAACTGGGAAACTACTGGGGAATATGGACCATATGACTGACAGTAGTAGTTGGCTGACTATGTTAATAAACAACCAATCAGGTTTCCAGGGAAATGCAATGAAGAGGATTCCTGAAAAATGCTTTTGGTGAAGCTTTAAACACTGAAGAGGATTCCTGAAAAATGCTTTTGGTGAAGCTTTAAACACATTCAGTGTTCTGGCATCAGTAGACACGAAATAACAGTATTATAGTATTTTTTAGGCTAGGGAAGACCAAGTAAAGAGAAGGTACACTGCAGTCAGAACTGAAAAATGCCAACTTGAAAAGCATACAGACTGCAACGCATACCAGCTCAAGGTTTCCAGTGGAAAGGTTGTATTGTGCCATTCTTTTGTAGGTAATAGGGCGGTGTAGGATAACAGATCATTCATGTTTCCTTATAAAAAAGCTTGGTGTGTTACAATGTCTGTTCTCAACTAGGTGGCGTGTTGTTTCAACCACCTATCAGATTTAAAGCTGCTTTTGACGCTTGAATCTGATAGGTGATATATCATGTAAAGTAAGTAGGAGCTACACCCACTCCTTCTGTAAATAGTTCTTTGAAATTTGGCTGCAATTTAGGTTAAAGTACATTGAGTGGATTTTCAAATTTACCACTGCTACTATGCTTCATTACTAGCAATGTGTTTTAATCGTCTGATGTTGGTTTATAAGGAAATGACGGGAGGGCAGCGGTTGTCTTGTTCTGGGAGGATGTCATATGACGTCCTTCCACTCCAGATGCACGTGTGCCCCCGGGCGAGTGCAGTGCAGCGATCTGTGGTGCGCTGTGTCCCTGGGACACAGTGGATCACCGATCGCAGCAAAAAGCCAATGACGTAGGCTCTATCATGTGATCAGCTGTGTCCACATCACAGCTGATCACATGTACTAAATAGGAAATGCTGGTTATTGGCAGTCCTCTGCTCACTCTGACAGTGCGTGAGGAGAGGAGAGCCAGTAAGTGGCATTCCTCAGAGGGGACATGTACACTGACCATCAGTGCTATCTGTCAGTGCCCTTAATTGCCACCTATCAGTGCCCATCAATGCCACATACCAGTTCCCATCAGTGCACATCAGTGCATATCATTGCCACATATCAGTGCCCATCAGAGCTTCCTTTACGTGCCAACTATCAATGCCAGTCAGTGCTGCCTATCAGTGCCCATTAGTGCCGCCAATCAGTGCCCATCAGTGCCGCCTATCAGTGTTCGTCAGTGCCACCTAACCTTGCCCATCAGTGCCATCTAACAGTTCCAATCAGTGCCGCCTATCAATGCCAGTCAGTGCTGCCTATCAGTGCCGCCTATCAGTGTCATTTATTAGTGCTGCCTATCAGTGACCGCCCATCAGTGATGCCTGTCAATGCCCACCAGTGATACCTGTCAGTGCCCATCAGTGCCACCTATCATTGCCACCTACTAGTGCCCATTAGTGCAGCCTATCAGTGCCCATTACTGTAGCCTCATTAGCGCACATCAGTGAAGGAGAAAAATTATTTATTTGCAAGATTTTATAACAGAAACTAAGAAAAAACGTTTTTTTTCAAACTTTTCAGTCTTTTGTAGTATGTTTAGCAAAAAATAAAAAACCCAGTGGTGATTAAATACCACCAAAAGAAAGCTCTGTCTGTCTCTAAAAAATTATAAAATTTTGTTTGGGTGCAGTGTTGCATGACCACGCAATTGTCATTCAAAGTGTGACAGCGACGAAAGCTGAAAAATGACCTGAGCAGAAAGAGGGTAAATGTGCCTGGTAGGCAAGGGGTGTACTTGCATGTAAAAACAAGATAATAATGATAGTAGTTGTTTGTATGTGGAGAATCTTTTTGTTCATTTAGGACTGCTTTACAACATCTAGTTTAACATAATGCTGTTTACTTTAAGGCAGGCATATCAAACATGAAAGAGCATGACCTCAAACTTGATACTGAAAGTCAACTCTGCTTGCTGAAGGTGGGCAAGCAGAGAAAATAATAAAGTCCATGAGTGACAGGCAGTTGGCATGCGCAACAGTACCTGCCTGCAAATCCAACAGTGAGTGAAATTTAGGAGACACCACAAGAGCTTAACAATATCACTTATATGAAGGAGCTCGGTTGGCAGGAAACAGTATGAAGGTGGTGGACACATGGTGGGTAGTGAATTTGGGCTGACAAAGGTAGCTGTGATGCAGGAAATAGAGATCTTTGAGACCACCCACCCCACTCCTTAATTAGACTAGTTAATCTTATGTCAAGTTCTGTCTGCTCCTACTGTGCATTAAGGAGTCAGAAGTATAAGATGGACTGCCTCCAATTTGGCATCATATATAAAGGTTAATAGTGATGGGCCGAACACTCTCTTGTTTGGTTTAAAGTCAAACATTCAAACCTAATGAAAGTTGGACCGCAAACTTTGAACAGAGGGGACTATTCACTAAGTGGTATGTTATAGCATCTGAGTATGATACTGCACAGCTACTAAAATACAGCATGAGTTATAATATTAAGTCATGCAATATTTTAGTAGTGAAACCATTCTTTAATGTTTCAGCAGTTATCAGGGTTCCCACGGACAGCTGAATGTAAAAGGAATGGCTGGCTTTGCCCGGCAATTAAATAAAAAAAAAACTGTGTGGGGTCCCCCCCATCCATACTTGTCCCTTCGGGTCCCACGCTAAACTTTTTGTAAAAGTGTCATCGGGGTCCCCCCCAAAATCCATACCAGACTCTTATCCAAGCATGCAGCCCGGCAGGTCAGGAAAGGGGGGGCATGATTACTCCCCCTCCTGAACCATACCAGACCACATGCCCTCAACATGGGGGTCCTTTGGGGCAAGGGGGCTCCCCCCCAAAGCACCTTGTCTCCATGTTGATGGGGACAAGGGCCTCTTCCCCACAACTATGGCTGATGGTTGTGGGGGTCTGCAGGTGGGGGGGCCTATCAGAATCTGGAAGCCCCCTTTAACAAGAGGGCCCCCAGATCCCACCCCCCATGTGAATGATTATGGGGTACATGGTATCACTATTCATTGAGACCAAAAAAAAAGTAGTGTACAAAATGACAGAAGACAGGCTTTGACAAGTCCTTTAATAAAAACAAAATGAGAAAAAGTCCCCTGAAGTAGATCCAACGTCAATCACAATGCTCAACGACCCAAAAAAAGAAAAGAAAAAATGCTCTGCTCTCTACGCTGGCTATCGCTGTCTGACAGCTGCGCCAGGATGACAGTTCTTAAATACTGTGATGATGTCCCTTGTGATGTCATCATGCACTATGATTGGCCAAAGCATTGCACTTGACCTGTGATCAGGTGCATTGCTTTGGCCAATCACAATGCACTGTCAGGGCGCAGTGCATTGGGGGCGTGGTGGGCAAATAGCCCACCGAACGCCCTTACCGTTCATGTGTTCGAATATCAAGTCCAACACTAGAGGTTAAATATGAATTGAGAAAATTAACATGCATATGAATGGGCAGCACAGTGGCTAAATGGTTAGCACTTCCACCTGGCAGTACTAGGGTTGTTGGTCCAAATCCCAGCCACAGCATCATCTGCCTGGAGTTTTTATGTTCTCCCTGTGCCTGCGTGGGTTTCTTCTGGGTACTCCGGTTTCCTGCCACACTCCAAAGACATGCTGGTAGGTTAATTGGATCCTGTCTAAATTGGCCCTAGTATGTGTATGGATGTAAGTTAGGGACCTTAGATTGTACGCCCCTTGAGGGTTAGGGACTGATGTGAATGTACTATATATATGTAAAAGCGCTGTGTAAATTGACAGCACTATATAAGTAACTGAAATAAATAATAATAATATCAAAACTGAATGGGTGGTTAACTGCAGATTACTGTTATGGGCAGGGGCGGACTGACAACTCATGGGGCCCCCGGGCAATAGGGTATCATGGCGCCCCTGTGTCCTTGCCCAAACTCAAAAAAGCCTATGAAAAAGGTACCAGGGGCATCTCATGGGGCCCCCTACTGACCCGGGCCCTCAGGCAGTGCCCGAGTTTCCAAATGGTCAGTCCCCCCCTGGTTATGGGTAGACTACAGAGACTTAAATCAAGTTTTTTCATATTTCCTTAGGACTAGAATCACAACATACTAATTTCTCAGCCATGTTCATTGCATGGACTCTCCTACAGCAGATATTTCAGTTCTTCTACTGTATTCTCTATGGTATTTAAAAAAATGCATTAATGAAACTGAGACCCCTTCATAGCAGCTGCAGCTATTGAGCAAACCTATGAATTCATATGCAGAGAAGACAATGATAACATTTCCAAGGGGTCCATGCTAAAATGTTAAGGATGACCCTTAAAAAAGTTGAATATATTGTGTCACCTTTTTTTACTGGTTGCCTGTAAAAATCCATTTTTTTTTTCTTTGCTTTATCAGATTCAGTGTGGTATGCGGAAAAGCTTCCTTTACTTCCTTGAACTATGCTAAGCTACAAAGAAACATTGTAAATGCTTTTCACTATTACTTTTATCTCACAGTACTGGTAGGTATTTAAATCACAATTCCAGGATTATATTTACTTAAACATTATGAACTAGCTCATAATTCAGTTTGAAATTCAATCCTTTACTTAAAGCTGAGATGCATAAATACATAAATAGACAAATTAAAACAGGATTCATTGATTAAGTTTTTTGGTTTCCAAAAAGTACTGCAGCATATACCTTTAAAAGGGAAAAAAAACATTGTTTTAACTTAATAGTACAAATTCCAGGTATAAGGTTCAGCCATGTTCTGTTGTTCACACTTGATTTTTGTCCAGTGAAGTTGTTAAAAAGTACAGCTTAAAAGTAGGGGAAAACAGTGCTTTATTACCTTAAGGGTCCATTTACACTGGGCCCTGGGCAGGGGCGGACTGACAACTCATGGGGCCCCCAGGCAATAGGGGATCATGGGGCCCCTGTGTCCTTGCCCAAACTCAAAAAAGCCTATGAAAAAGGTACCAGGGGCATCTCATGGGGCCCCCTACTGACCCCGGGCCCTCGGGCAATGCATGGCATTGCATTACATTGTAGAGTCCAAAATCCCCATAATAGAAAATGGGCCCTGTTCCTATTTGAATGCTGCAGTTCAGGACATTATGAAAAATAATGAAATGTTTATTTTTTTCTTCCTTGTAGTGAGTTGGGAGGCCAAAAGAAGTCGATGGCAGTGCATCAAAATACCTATACCATGCAGTTTGATGCAGTGGCAACAGGTATTATCAATCCCTGGTCAATAGAAATGCACACTCAGATCTAAATAGGCCCTAACTGGATGACATAATTGATAAAGCACTGTGTAACATAAACTGTCATGGCTCTTTTTCTTAAAGTGGTTATAAAGGCTCAAGGTATTTTACCTTCATGCATTCTATGCATGAAAGTAAAAAACCTTCCCTGGGCAGCATCCCCCCCAGCCACCCCAATACTCACCCAAGCTCCCTCTTGATCCAGCAATGTGCACTGGAGTCTTGGCTTTCCCGGGACTCTCTCTCCTCATTGGCTGAGACAGCAGCAGAAACCATTGACTCCCGCTGCTGTCAAGAGAGGGGGGGCAGGGCAGCTGCGGCTCGGTGTGTATGGACACACAGAGCAGAGGTTGGAGAGTGCGCATGCTTGGGTGCCCCTCATAGCAAGCTGTTTCGTGTGGGATCACCCAACAGGAGGGAGGGGCCAGGAGTGCCAGCAGGGGACCTAATGAGAAGAGGATTCAGGCTGCTCTGTGCACAACCACTGTACACAGCAGGTAAGTATAGACATATTTATTATTTATTTTATTTTTTATTTAAGCCTTTAGAATCACTTTAAAATACCGGTTTCACCTTTGATTATGTGTGTCTGTGTACATATATATATATATATCTTGTCATATTACCCTCACTAGCAGTCCAATTCTCCATCCCTCTAGTCATAATGGCCTTCACTAGCAGGCATATTCTCTATCCCTCTTGTCACGTTGCCCCTCACTAGCAGTCCAATTCTCCATCCCTGTAGTCATAATGACCTTCACTAGCAGGCATATTCTCTATCCCTCTTGTCACATTACCCCTCACTAGCAGTCCAATTCTCCATCCCTCTAGTCATAATGGCCTTCACTAGCAGGCATATTCTCTATCCCAACAATAAAACACAAACTGGCCACCCAGAATGACACGTATAGCTGGTGTCATTAACTTATCTCCGACTCACTTGTATAAGTGTGGATCCATAAACCCAAAAGGTACATACTAAGCAAAATGGTAGTGTGACAAGAACACCCCTACCTGGAAAAAGAAGGTTACTAGGTGATCCGCGCGGAGTAATATGAATTCAAAAATATTCCAAACAATACTTTATTTGATCACATAGATCATAAGGAGGTTAAACATGAGCACGGTGTACATATGAAAAAAGTAAATAAAATCATGTTAAAAAGCACTAGGCGTCTTCAGTTTCGGGTCATCTTAGCAAATAGAGTACCATAAGGCAGAGTTATATAGTGGTGATATAGTTATCCTGGGTTTCCATAGGTTTTCGTCTTGTATTCAAATGAACCAT